GATCATGGAGAGATGAAGGGATGCGGGATAGCAGCAGGACCTTCCCTCAGCCCCACACCGCCTTCACTGGGGCCAGTCACAACCGTCATGGGTCCCTCCGATGGATGGGTCATGCACACGGGCTGAGGAGAAGCACACATCCCAAAGGGCAGCTCCCCTGCCAGGTGCCATGTAAACCAATGCACACAGCTCTTCCACCACTGGCACTATGTCTTCAAGCCACATCTACCACCAGCACATCCCATAAAGCCACAAGACTCTCAGGTTGGCCTCACTGCCAGACACACTGTTACACCAGGAATGGTTCAGCTTCTCCAGCTCACCCTCATACTGACCATTCCCAGCTCCCACCTGGAGCTGCTCCCTTCAGGCACGCACAGCACCAGCTGCACCTCGTCCTCTGAAAGGCCTTTTCCAACCTAAATGATTCTATTTATAACCTTCATCATGAATCTTCAGTGCTTGAGACACGGGACGGTGCATCCACACCCTCAGACATCACTTGGCTCCTGTCACCACACTAATAGTGCATCGTAACACCCACCTTACAATTCCCAGCACACAATCCCACAGACACAATTTTTAGAGGAATGAGGTCAAAATTGCTAAGGCACATTCAGTTTGTTAGAACTGGAAATATTTTTTTCTCTTCAGAAGCTGAAGCAGGATTTCTAAAGAAAAATGAAGATCAAAGACGAAGCAACCTCCCATTGTGTCCCAGAAGAGGATACAAACATGTGTAAAATTACTAAATCTGGAAACAGAGGCAACAGAACAAGTTTAAGGAAACAGAAGAAAATGCAGCTGTTGCTCAGGTACCAGCTGAAGAAAGGATAAAAGCAAACTAAATCTCAGTAACCCTCCCTGATACATCTGATCAGAATGAAATATGTCCAGGGAAACACTGAAGTTACTCTCAGTTGTTACAGATATCATTTAGGCTCTGGGGCAAACCCTAGACATTCACATAAAGGAAGATATTTAATATGCAAAACTACTGAAACATCATCACATCTTCAGATATCTAATAATAGCTCTAAGGTTTTTTGAAGGCTCCTATCAACGTAAGTTACTTTAAAAATACAAAACCAAAAGAAAAATCCCTCCCAGCTTTTCCAGTATAGAACAGGCAAGCTAACACCTACTTTATTATTTGCCTGTTAATTACCAGACATAAGAGCACATTACAGTGGTGGAACTGGCAAGAAAACAGTGTTACATGTCCAAATCTCAAAAATCACTTTAACTAGAGGTTATAAAAACAAGCAAACAAAACCCAAGAAATTGCTGTGGCACAGATTCTAGTCCTGTGCTCATGAACTATGAAAACTTCCATGAAAAAACTGATAACTTGAAACCAGCAACAAATAAAACTGTCATCAATGCGATCAAAAGGAATTATCATAGTAAGGATTTGGGGTTTTTTTTGTGTTTTGGCAGTTTTTACTTACACTTTACACTCAGCATTGAAGAGCAAAAAGAGAAATTCACATTATTTAATAGAGAGTGCCAGTCAGCCTGGTTTTGAATGCACACAAAAAGGTAGTAAATAAAACAGACTTTGAAACTTATCACGTGATATTTGTCAGTAGGGAGTAGTGGATTTGCAAACTACCACTTGTTTTTCCCTTGTTGCTGACAGAAGTAGCACCTCTCTACTAACACTTGGTTTCATGTAGAATAGAACACAAACAGGCAAAGCCTGAGATAACTTTGCCTCTTGCTGTCCCAAACCCCTGCTCAAGAAATTACGTCTCTTAGGCACTCTCAGTAATTTAGCAGTCACCAGTGCATGTGGGGTAACATATGCTGTACAACATACAGTATTATCACTCTATATCCTCATTCTGATACTGCCACTGAGTTGCCTCAATAGTAAGGTTTACTCAAATAAAAGATTAAAATGTGTTCTCCAACCATAGCCTTCAAAGGTTACCTAGATAATCATGGTAGCCATTTAGCAAATTCAGTGCCTTTTAAAAGAGCAGCTAAGACAGGTAGACAGAATATTCCACTCTGAGGTTATAAAATGGTTCATTTTGATAGCTGCAAATAACATTTTCCAGAGAAACTGTGATCAGCTGGCAGAAAGCACCAACCAAGCAGTAAATTATCTTTTAACAGTTATGGTGAGTGACCATTTATTTCTAGTGACCTGCCCAGTAAATGCTCCATGCCCACGAGATTACATAGTGTTATTTCAGCCTTTCATCTGGCTCTAGAAAGTGTCAATCATTTATGGGTATGAGCATGAACCCCCAAACATTTTTATTTAAAAACAAAGAAACAAACACAAACAAAAAAAACCCAAACAAAAAATCCCAACAATCAAACAAAACCAAAACCCTATTGAAAAGGCTGCAATTGAGAATATGATGATGCATCAATTTAAAAGTTCAGGGTCATTTGTTGTAGAAATTTCACCTATACAAATTTGTTTTGATGGATGTGTATAAGGCAGAGACAGTATTCTAATCACAGACAGACAGAAGGAAAAATTCCTGCAAAATTCTGGACTGCTGACAAATCTGAACTGCAGTATTTCTGTGATAGTCACCCATAAACTCAGCAGATCCACACAGATGATAGATGGGGGGGGTTTGTGCCTTGAAACCCATGAAGTTTTGATTTTAATTTTTTTCAACTGAGTATAGAGCATAAGTTTAATTTAAGTTAGCAGAAATGGCAGATGACTTCCAATTGAAGGAATCTGTAGAAATTCCTACTTCTGTAAGTCTTCCAGGAAACACTCACACTATACACTAGGAGTAGTAAGATGTTTGTGCACTTTACTAAAAACCTCAATACACATGGTACTACAAAACAAGACCCTGCAAACACTGACCCTTGAAATGAAGCCCCTACAGGAATCCTCCCATTTGGATAATTTTACTGCCATCAAAATAAAATTAATCTGATATGCCACACTGACTTGTCAATTACTGCCATGGAACAATTCATTTCCAAGGAGCTCAGCAGGCCCTGCCAGTCCCCCTGAGCACAGTAACAGGAAGGGACACGGATCACAGCACCAGCCTGGCACCGACAGCTCTTCTGGGCATTAAAGTACTTGGTCTGTTGCCACTCCACCTACAAATGCACATCTGGGCTCCCCGTGGAGAGTCTGCACATAAAATATTCAATGGTTCTCCTGGTCTGCCTGCTCTGCTTCTTCAGGACGTTATGGGAGAAATTTTAGTGCAATATCAGGGCTAATTGAGCTGCCTAATCAGGCCAGACCCACTGTACAGCATCTCACGGTGAACCACATGGGAACGTGGAAACAGGAATAATCTACATAAACTGAATCCTAATGCTAGCTTGCTTCACTACTCCTTCATTATTCCAGCGTGAATAAAGAACAAAGGATACAAAGATAAATCCCATTGTTTTATCCATGAATAAACCTCCAGGTGGTTGTGCTTATGTTAATTTCTGATGCTGAACTGTAGCTTTTCTGTTTTTCTGCAAAGAATTAAGTATAGAAGTTGTTTCATATGTGCTCACACTGGCCTTTGTTTCCCGGTGGGAATCTCATCACGGCTTTAGCGGGAGCTTTAAAAGCTGCCAAGCAGTTTTGAAAATACCCCTGCAAGTGCTTAACTACAACGGCTTTTGGTATAAATAAGCAAAATATTTACTTACAAAGCATAAACTCAAAAACATGCTGTGGCAACTAAATAAATCTGGTAATCCATTCTGACTACAAAGACTGATTTCAAGCCATCAAAGCCTGTCAAAATGCACTTAGTGGGTTGAACATTCTTATAATATTAACCATCATTTTTCATTGTAAGCCACCTACTCATAAGCTGTAATAGATGAAATAGAGGATCCTAGATAAATAAGATTTTTCTATAGGGAAGAAGGGAAATTATTAAGTTTAGTTTCAAACATCTGATGTGTTCAGTTAAGAAGATTAACACATTATTAAAATAGTTCAGTTATCAAAATTTATCTACTAAACTTTATATAGAACTCATCTATAACATACAGAGAGAAAAATCAGCGCAGATAATACATTTATGCAAGAATATTTTGTCTTTCCTGGAGTAGACTAACAACCCTGCATATTTGACAGTGTTTATAAGCACATACTTCCCCTCACAAAGATACTGAAGAGTTAAACTTTTCTTGCAACAGAAATAAAATCATCTAAAGAGCATTGTTTGAACTCAGGCGAGAAGGCAAGGCAGGCAGGCCATGATCCTGCAAAGGGACCTGCCCTGCTGTACACTGAGAGTTCCATGGGACTGAGGTTTACCTAGAAATGAGGTTTCTGTCCTGGGCTTTTGTGTGATGTGTGCTCAACTCCTGATAGCACTGATTTGTGTAGAAGGGTTCTGGCATTTTCCTTGCTGTTGACGGAAAGCGGTCTGGCAGCAGCGCTGGCAGCTCAGACACAGTGAGATCTTCAAACGATGGCTTTTTGCAAGGATGTGCAACATCTTCATTATCACATGTGCGCACACACACACACTGGACTGAAAACCCTGACCACTGACAAAGCCTCTGGCTTCTTGTGATGCCAAAAAAAAAAAAAAAAAAATAAAAAAAATCAAACAGCTACTAGGACTCTGTTATTTCGGTAGCAAAAGGCTCAGTGCAGCAATAAACATGAGATGTGTGCTGGTTTTGGCTGGGTGGAGTTGGTTTTCCCCAGTTGGTCTAATGGGGGGCTACATTTTAGATTTGTCCTGAACACAGGGTTGATAATATAGAGATGTTTTTGTTATTGCTGAGCAGTGCTCACACAGAGCCAAGGCCTTTTCTGCTTTTCGTACTACCACACTGGCATGCAGATAAGTACTTGTACAGCAACGCTGGCTGGGGGTGCACGGGAAACTGGGAGGAGAGACAGCCAGCACAGCTGACCCCAACTGACCCAGGGGATATGCCAGACCATATGCCATCATGCTTAGTCTATAAAGTGGAGGGAAGAAGAGGTGACATTTGGAATGATGGCATTTGTCTTCCCAAATGCACGATGGGGCCCTGCTCACCTGGAGTTGGCTGTACACCTGCCTGCCCGTGGGAAGCAGTGAATTAATTAATTCCTTGTTTTGATTTGATTGTGTGCACAGCTTTGGCTTTCCTTATTAAACTGTCTTTATCTCAACCCACGAGTTTTCCGAGTTTTACCCTTCCAATTCTCTCCCCAGTTCCGCTGGTGGGGGAGTGAGTGGCTGTGTGCAGCTTGGTTTTTGGCTGGGGTTAAACCACGACAAAATGGCATGTGATACCCAGGTTAGGTAACAGCTGGGATTTGCAAACTAGGATATTTTCATGATGTCCACAAGTACATCAAAAAGCATAATCGGTTTCACAGCTTTATATTCATACAAATATCACACCCAGATCCACAATCCCAAATCCCATTAAGTGATGTTTTTAAGTGCCTAACATGACCTGTTATTCAGCCTTTGATAGTCATGTTACTTGACTTCTTTTGTGCAATCCCTATATTGAATGTGCTCCCCAATGCAGTGACCAGATTCTTAATCCTCATTTTTAATTAGTTATATTCAGTGATGCACACTGACACTTTGTCATAAAAAGCAATTTAAAGGCTACACAATGTAGCAAAAACTAAACCGGCAACCTTTCATTTCAGAGCTAGAGGCCACTACAAGCAGCACCAGAATCTCACCAAGGTTAACAGAAGTGTAAAGAGCCACCAGCATGAATCAGCTTCCCATGGTGGCACCGACAAACTCTGGAAGACTTGCCAAAATTCCCCATGCTCCCTAAGACCACTGCATGCAAAAGTCCTGCAAATGAGACATGTGGATATGAACTTGGAAACCTGCTGAATAGACAAACAAAACTGCAGATCTAAACTGCTGGTTTCCAAACTTTTACTACGTGACCTTAGAACATTTTAACCATTAAAAAGGAAACCTCATTGCTCTTAAATGAAAAACACCTGCCAGCTTTTCTGCTGCCTTCTGTGAAACTGCTGACCTGCGAGCATTTGAAGATCATAGACGGGATTTTATTTGTCCAACTGGTGAATAATATTCTCCCAAAGCTTTTATCATGCTCACTTTCCTAAGGCATTTATGGAGTAGGACACCAGACAGCGATATCAGGTGGTGGCTATTTCAGACACACATACCAAGAAAGGCTCAGAATTTATGGGAAATGCAGTTGCCCTGTGACATGTGTGAGGTGATGGCAATGAACCAGGACCTGCCCATAGGATACCAGCCTCCAGATGTTCAGCCTGTGCCAGGGCATTCACAGAAACAAGTGCTGATGTAGATCAAACAAAGGCATTTAATTCCAGGGCAGGAGATGTATGCAGTGATGCTGTGATAAAAGCAAGGCTGTGAACCCCAAGGGTAGCACATCCCTAGTTGCTACACAGAGCACCACTTAGCTGATGGATATTTATTTTAACAGCGTGACTTAATGAAAAGATACATTTTAGAGATCTTAAAATTGTATGTCATGGATCTCTCTCACAGTAATTTAATAGAAAAAGATAACCACATATCTGTCTCGACATCTATTTATCCTTACGCATCACTTCTTCCTGCTTTTCAGTCCAAGTACAGGGTAAAATGTAGCAGCAGCCAAAAATCAATACCATCTCCTGAGGAAACAGCACTGCTCCACACTAGGTACTACTGAAGCAAGTTAAAAAAGCACCCACAGTTATCTGCCACAGAAAGTCCATCCAACACAAGCCTAAGCAGAGATTCCTCCATCAAATCTCCATGGATGTACCAATAAACATCCCAGCCACTTCTCTGCAGAGACATGAACCTCCACACACAGCAGTAAATTAAGTTCTTGGTTCCATCTCCTGTGTGCTTTTTAATGCCTTGAATGTTTTTTTGACAATAAAACATGCCTTGTTTGCCATCATTCTTATTCCCTACCATTTTTATTCCATTGCTGTTGTCAGTAAACAAAACACACAGTTTTGCGTATAAATGATCTCATTTTTTTCCCCCCTGATACATACAGTCTTGGATTTATAAGTTAAGAAGCAACAATACTAATTAAATGCACTTATATGTGATCTGAAAGAAGACAAAACCAAAAAATCAATAGAATAACTGAATTTTAAGAGTCTAAAGTACGGTGGAACCAAGACTTAGGAAAAAAAAAATCATGATACAACTCAGGAACTTGGAATGAGTTTTAACTTCCGATGTTGATTATAAAAGATAGACATGCTTATCTCTACATGGCTTGTGTAAATAAACAGATCTGGTTGGGGGCTTGCTTAAACACCAGTCCAAATGGTGCTTTTTACAGATAAAGACACAAAAAGTATTACTCGGACCCTGAACCCAACCACAACTATGTCATGAGTACAAAAGGATTAATCAGAAATTATTGTGGGTTTATTTATTAGATTTGATATGTGGGACCTGATAATATTTGTGTGCTTTCAACAGTTTCTTGTTATTTCCCTGTCATGAGTTGAAAAGTTACTAAAAAAATAACTAAAGGGGAGAATTTCACCAATAGTGTGAGGCAGTTGAGTGGCAGAAAAGCTGATAAAGGAGAGAACTTTCCTTCTGGAATGGGGGGACAGGGGGGAGCAGAGAAATACACCAGAAAACTGGTAAAAGGAGACAGAGAGGATTAAAAAACAAGACGCTAGAAAATACACACTTAAAAAAACAATCTCAAATTCTGGTTATAAACTTTCTGTTTCAGTTTTGACTTTGGTACTTTTCCCCTATGCCTCTCTGTGTGCACCACGGGGCTGAGCTCCCCTGGCAGAGGCTTTCCACGGCATTAGAAGCTCCAACTTCAGGCACACAAAATGTAATATGAACACTGCAGCTAATTAATAAATTTTAGCTAATCTTTCAAAACAAGAACGGATCACCTATAGGAGCCAAACCTGATACTAAAAAGAGTTGTGAGACCGGGCACATCCCGGCCGCTGGGACCGGGTCCATTTGGGCAGCAGCAGGGATGCACAAACCACAGCAAGCAAAGCACAACCTTTACCCTTCCATTCCCGGGGCTGTCGAGCGTCATTTCTAAATTTAGAGCCCAAACCTCCACCGACGTTTCCTGGGTCAATGTGCGGCCGTTCAACTACAAAACCGAAAGCGTTTCCAAACCGGTTTCACTACGCGGCTCCCTCCTCGATGGGGGCAGGCACCGGGACAGTCCCTCGCACCAGCGCTTCTCCCGTGTCCGCAGCCCAAGATTAATTTCCCGGGGTCCAGTCTGTTGGACGAGCGAACCGGTAACGCGCAGGGATGCTCTCCACGGACGCGATCTGGGGGCGTTTCTCCAGCTCTACCCGCACCCCTCGGCACTCACTCTGTCCAGCCAGACAGTCACTGGCCGAGGATGGAGGCGGCCAGCCCGGTACCGCGGCGCCTCTCGCTCGAGGGGCGGCTGAGCCGCCATCAACCCGGCCGCGCGCGCGGGGCGGGCGGGGCGCGGACGCGCGCCGGGGGGGACACAGGCGACGGCGAAGGCACGCGGACCGGGAGACGGGGCGACCAGCGAGACCTGGGCTTCGGGGGACAGGGGCAGGGGAGGCGACAGGCGCACGGCGCCACAGGGGCGACGGGAAGAGACACGACGGCACGGCAAGCGGACGGCCGGACAGGGAGCCCACGCTGCTCGGTGCCAGCGATGGACGCTGCCCAACGGGCCCAACTGGAGAGGCACCCGGGGCGTCCCCACAGGCGGCCGTGACCCAGCGACATGCACTCGCCACGGCTCACTGCCCTCCTCCTCTGGAGGGGAATCGCCCGATCCTGTCTCCTTAGACCTTTACGCAGAGACCCACCGGCACCGACGGCCCTCTGGGAGACCAGGGTACCCCCACACGCCCCCCCGCTCGGCGCCCGCACGAACAGGGTACCCACAAGCCACCCGCCTGACGCGCGCCAGGGTACCCACACGCCCTCGAGCGCAGACCGGGCCTCACCCCACCACAACGCCCGCTGAGGCAGCACAGCGCGTACGCCACAAGCCCCGCTGAGGCAGACCAGGCGTTCACCAGCCCGCTGAGGGACAGGGCTATCCAAAGCCCCCGCTGAGGCAGACAGGGTACCCAAAGCCCCAGCTGGCGCAACAGGGTACCCAACGCCCGCGCTGGGGCAGACAGGGTCCCAAAGCCCCCGCTGGGGCAGACAGGGTACCCAAAGCCCCCGCTGGGGCAGACAGGGTACCCAAAGCCCCCGCTGGGGCAGACAGGGTACCCAAAGCCCCCGCTGAGGCAGACAGGGTACCCAAAGCCCCCTTCCTGCACCGCGCACGCTGCTGGCAGCCCCTTCTCTGCACAGGCACAGGGCACATCGCAGACCTGATGCGTCTCTGGGGCTGCCTTTTTGAGCAAATTAACCTTCGTGCTCAGTTTGGCTTGGCAACACTGACCAAAACACTAAATCTCTCTGAAAACCCAAGGTTTAGGACGCAAAACCTTTGCACGATCACATAATGGAGTGCAAACTGACCATGGATGGAGACAACACAACAACGAACCTTTCCAGACTTTGGGGGGGGATAATTTCTCTGTCTTCTCATCTTCTCTACAGCCCATTTAATTTACATATTTGGTTTTATAGGGAGATGTTCCTCACAAATCCAACATGGACATGTGCAAAAAAACCTCTCACGTTATTTTTATAATAGTATTTTTAAAATTAAGATTCTCCCTGTTGGGACCGTGCACAGTAGTAAAGTTAAACACCCACATAAGTGATAGCAGGATCAAAGACTATGAATCACAGATTGCCTTGCAAGCACATTTAGTAGGATGAATAACTTCATATATACTTCATCCTATAGGAAAAATCAATAAAGACACACTCCTTTAAAGAAATAAAAATCTAACTGTAGGAAAGGGCAAAGATCACCCATAAAAAGCAGTCTGCACAGTGACAATAAAGAAACACAAAAAGTTAATGATTATGTTGTCCAGATGGAAAATGCAAACCGTTAATCCAAATTAAATAAGATCTGGAAAACCAGTTGCGCCATCTCATGCAATTTAATTTATTCCTCTTTAAATAGAAGGCAAGATAATGACCATTTGGGAGAGCTTGGAATCTAAAAATTCATTGCTATGCCCACTCCAAGCATTTTCTCTCTATTTTAATGGTGAGCTCACCAAAAATGTTAATCCCGAAAAAAACCCTACAATAAATGGCTGTATCTAGGCACAGATTTTCTCAGAAGAGCTGGAGGAGAGGAGGAAAGTGCTAATTTCTTATGACCTCAAAGGGCCACATCTTGCCTCTGTAACTGCTGATGACAGTCTCCACGCCCAACACATTTTTGGTGTCCTCAGCTGAGGTTGCCAACAAAGTATTACATTTTGGATATGCAGCAGCATCACTGTGGAAGTGAGGCCTAACTCACTAGGCTGTATTACAAAAACTAACTTTGAATCCAGCACCTGCCTCTGATGGGAACCACATGCTTCAGTGAAAACCTCCAGATTCCATTAGGAGGGAGCTGCTCATCAGTTAAAACATTACAGCTCAGGCTGAAAACAAATCATCATGTTATAAACAACCTGAGCTGCAAGGAACAATATAAAAGTACAACCCCCACACCTCTGAGACACGGAGTGAGAGCCAGGCAGCACAGCCTGTATCATTATTCCAAATGAGACATGTAAAGCCTCCGTTTATTCCTTATTTACATCGGTAAATACCAGGCTTCACAGTGGCGCAAGGAACACTGTGGGAATCTCAACTAACAGTAAATTAATTTGGCTGTGGAGGAAGGGCAATCACAGGATGGATTGAATTAGCACATCCTTTGCTTACAGAGATTGCTAAGTCGTGACACAGAGGCAAGAACAAGTCTCCCGAGATGAATCTCGCAAGGAAAAATGATCACGAGCGCAGCATCCTGATTCTGCTCAGCTACCTCGCACTGCCAGCACACCTTGAGTGAAATCAGTTCACAGATTAAAAATCCCAGCAAGTTATTACCACTTTCAGAAAGGTATTTGTAAGGCTTTAATTAAAAATTTATCTTATTGATATTTGCCATCTATTTGAAATATTCCTTTGTAAGGAAACCCTGGTGATGCCTCCTGTGCTTTTGTATCTTCTCAAGCAGCTTTACCAGAAACAAACAGTGTTACAGTTCAGCCCTGTGCTACAAGATGGTGCAGAGATGAGTTGCTTAAAGCTCACCACCAGGGAAGGGGCTTGTGGCTCCATTCCTTACACCTTCTCCCAGCCACATCCTCCTTTTGCTTGCAGAGTTCTCCAGGTAAACAGGTAGCTTTCTGCTAAGGCCTTATAAAGCAGGATTGTGGGGAGGAGAGCAGGACTCAGCCAGTAGATTAGCTCAGCTAATTTCTGATGGGTAACAGCTGAAATTTTCCCAGGTAGCAACTGGGGAGGAAAAACAAACAACTTGGAGTGGGGAATACTGTTCTGCCCCATTCTGTGTGCTCTCAGCACTGTTTGTCTGTACCCAGTTTCAGGCACCTGAACCTTTTTGCCACACAAAGGCCCAAACCACTCCATGCTGTGCTAATTAGAGCTGAAGAAGGTACATTACAGCCAGAAGAAACAATGAATACTTTCTACCTCTTTCCACGGTTTTACTTGAGATTTAAATCCCTATTCTTATAATCCTTGCTGATCCCAAAATCTTGACAGCAATGGGTACATTACATGTGCTTGAAACATTATTTGCCTATTCCAGGAGATTTTCCAATAGTCCCTACCCCAGCTAGTGCAGGAAATCCCCCTGCTATGATACAGTGGTGTTTTGAGGGGACACATTGCCTCTTAAAACCATCAGGACCCTCCTTTCCCCTGCTGAGAGTTGTGCACCATCACTGTGGCAACTGGAGTGCCTGCGTACATGAGAAATATTAGGAAAGCAATAGGCTTATTTTAGCTATATTCTAAATATTAGGAAAGCATTAGGCTTATTTTAGCTATATTCTAATGTAATGCAGCACCTGGAAGGGAGGAAGGGAACAAGCACCATATGAGCAGTCCTGCTGCATTTCCACCCTGGAAGTGTTCCACAGCTATGTCCGAGGCAACAGGCACCACACCTTAGAAAACATCTGAGATAACCTGGGTTTGTTCAGTGCTCCTGATACAAAATGAGTGGTGTGAAAGGTTGGGCTGGACCTCTCTGCAGCCAAAGCTCCTCTTTTTCACTCTGAGACTGAGTTAGCTGGAACATAAACCTTCCTGGACTTGAGGGATGGCTGGAGCACAAGCCTTGGCTGCTGTGCCCAGCTGCTGCTGCTGCTGCTGCTGCCTCACATCCCGAGCCAACAGCCATGAAATGTAATTTCTCTACCAAATGCTGGTGTCACGATCACTTGCTCTTGAAACACTGCCTGGGACTTCAGAAGCATATTAAGTAACACAGGAGCTGCTCCTGAGAGGTTCCCAGGAAGGCAAACTGAACAACCGAGAGCTGAAGCAGAGGTGAAGATGAAGGGATTTTAGTTGATATTTGCTTCCAGAGGCTTAAATAAATGTTTTTTAAACCCTAAAACACGATAATAAAGTGTTGAATCCCAATGCTTTTGGCAAAAGCTCCCTCATCTAGGAATGATTTCATATCAGCCAAGCTGTTAAGCAGAGGTTGTCATGGAAACAAGTTATATTCAAATGATATGGCCAGAGATATACTGTATTTAGTGAGTTCTTCATTTGCTGCATATTGGGAACATGTCAGAACTAAATGATATTGCATAACTTTGTTTTGTTAAAAACAAACTGGCTCGCTGCCCCCTGTTTTTCTCGCAGGCTTGTGTCCAGTCCTGCCTGGGACAGGTGGTTTTCCACACAGTACCAAGCACTGCTCCACAGGAGAGGCTCCTCACACAGCTGGTCCCTGCAAGCTCCCATTCATAGAAGCCTTCCTTCAGAGGCATGAACCTGCCCGAGTCAAACAAGCAGAGGAATCTTTCCTTAGCTTCTACAATTGGCATAACCATCCCTAGCGAGTCTGAAAAGAAATGCTGTTAACTAGATCCTTTCCTCCTCCACTAAAAAAGTTCCTACATAGGCATTGTGAAAGTCTGAAAAAAAAAAAAATCTATACAATTACATAAAAGTAAAGCCAGTTC